ATGTTGTATAACATAATGTAACATAGTAATATAACAAGCACTTCTTCTCGTGATTCAATTTGTTTATGTTTTACTTTACATAAATTCTTTGCATAAATTAAATGACCAACAGCTCAATAAAATCAGAATTTGATACAAATTTTAACCAAAATCGTTTTAGTAAATTTGTATAAAAATGTTTGATAATGATGCTTTAAGTTAAAGTTTAACGATGTAATAATTAATAAGATACAGACGACAGCTATTTAAGTAAATCCTGATTTTAAAGAAATATTAAAATCTACATATTTAACGATATACAAATTTTAGCATGTTTCTATTATATTTTTATAACTACTCGAAATTATTATCAACAATAAAATCAAAATCAAAAATATCTAATAAAAAGTCGTGTTTTAGAAGCTTTTAAGAATGGCAGAAAACTATTATCATTAAAATCTGGAACACACTGAATTTATTTCAAAATTTAATCGTATACCTACATTGGCACGACTTTGGCTCAACGTTATCACTTAGTTAAAAAATTGAACAACACTTCTGACGTTGTGCCGACGTTAGCCCAACGTATGTGTGCTAGCTGGGATATATTTCCACCCAGCTAGCACGCTTAGGTTGGGCCGACATAGAAAAATTGGTTGGCAGATGGTCGATAACCAATAATAGCCCAACGTCATTTTGATAGTCGGCGCAACGTCAAAACCAACCATTGGGCAAACGTTGGCCTAACGTCGGATTCCGATGATGGGAAAATGTCAAATCTGACAATGGCTCAACATAATTTTTATTAATGAAAGTTTAAATTTGTTTGCAAAAACATTGTTTTTGATTCATAAGGTGAGTGAACATTGTGAACCAAAAACAAAGTTTTTGCAAACAAACTAAAACTATTTCTTTAACTATAGTGCAACTACTTCTTCAACTAAAGTGCAACTATTTCTTTAAATAAAACGCAACTATTTCTTTGTAATGTCCATAGAAATGATCAAATCAAATTGAATAAAACTTAAGGCTGATAACACAAGTAATAGATTGAACACAAGTAATACATTGATGCTAATTTATGAACCAACTTTATTTACACAGAAAACCAAAATTTGATGTAATAATTATTAAATTATGTTAAAATATTCATACAAACTATACAGATATATTCAGTTATAATAATGTTCTTTACTGCTTCCCTACGAATCTTGCATCTTTACACCGTTTGAGAGCAACTAAAACGTTAAAATTACACAATTTGATAGAAATCATTGAACTTGTATCTTTGATTTGATGAGCTTTAGGGATATATATATATATATATATATATATAAATGAGCTTTAGGGATATATATATATATATATATATATATATATATATATATAAATTAATTTGATGAGCTTTAGGGATATATATATATATATATATAAATATATATATATATATATATATATATATATATATATATATATATATATATATATATATATATATATATATATATATATATAATATATATATATATATATAAAATATATATATATATAAAATATATATATATATAAAATATATATATATATATATATAAAATATATATATATATAAATACATATATATATATATATATATATATATATATATATATATATATATATATATATATATATATATATTTACATTATATAAATTTATATATATATATATATAATTTATAAATATATATATATATATATATATATATATATAAATATATATATATAAATATATATATATATATATATATATATATATACATATATATATATATATATATATATATATATATATATATATATATATATATATATATATATATATATATATATATATATATATATATATATATATATATATATATATATATATATATATATTTATATATGTATATATATATATATTCAACTAATAATTTTGAAGTAAAAATAAACACAAAAATGGTAATTAAGTATTCCATACCTATTGCTCTCAAACAAACAATTAATGTGATTTCTTTTCACAACCACTTTTTTGCATAATTTAATCTTATTAAATTCTTTTAATAAGACTTCTTTTTGTGATTCAAACTTTATTATTTTTCCATTATAAACCACTTCTTCTCGTTATTTAACGCTTCTACTTTCTTTAAAAACCTTTTTTTTTCATTAACAACTTTTTTTTTTCTTTAACAACCTTTTTTTTCTTTAACAGCCTTCTTTTCGCTTTTTATTCTTTCTGAGTTCTATAACAATCACGTCTTTTCCTGATTTAATTTGTTTGCTTTAAAATAAACCTTTACAGAGTCCTTGCATAGCTTAATAAAAAAAGAAAAAAAAAGGGATTTTATACAAATTTAACCAAACTTATTCATTAACTTTTTATGAAAAAGTTTGGAAATGATAATTAAACAATATTAGCACTAACTATATTATTAAGTTAACAATATATAATACACACAGTATAAATAAAAATGTACGACACATTATGTAGTACACTGTATAATAAAATCTGTACGATATAGACAACTACTCAGTATCATACTTTTAGTAAAATTTAAATGATTTACATATTGTATATTAGTGTATAATCTAAAGTTAAAACTTAACTTGAGAATTAAGACTTAAGTTGTAGCTTCCACGTTAAGGCTAAATTCTCAAGTCTTATACACACAATGTATGTAGTATATGTATACGTTCTGTATCATACAGTGTATACACTGTATGACATCACTGTATACACTGTAAGATACAGAACGTATACATATACTAAATACATTGTGTGTATAAGACTTAAGAATTTAGCTTGTACATTGTACATCATACAGTGTACATGTGCACTGTATGATACATAAAAATTATCTTTGATACAGATAACTACGACGAAGTCTACGAACAACTACGACGTCTTCGTAGTTGTCGAAAAATTAAGTCTTAGGTTAGTAATACCTATGTAGTTG